CAGGCCCAAACCATGTTCAGAACACTTTTGCAGCACAGTATCTATAAAGTCCTTTGTGGCTTTACCGGGCATACCCCATGTAGTGATTTTCATGTTACCAGGTTGTATACTTAGATGTCACCTTTTAGATACAGATGGACAACAATGTGTTAGGTGTGGTGAGTTTGTCAGGCCTGACACACACAGCTGACACAGAGTAGAGACCCACCCTTGGGCCTGGGTGTCAGCGTCTCTCCTCTGCACCCATCTCTGTGGTATCTCGGAGTCTGTGACATCCATCGGACAGCAGCACCCGAACTGTGTCCAACTGAGAACGTCGCTGGGAGGCCAAAGGCCTGCCGGCTGATTGGAGATTGCAGTGGCCTGTGCAGACTACAGGGACCCAGCATGAGTCGAACTAAAGAACATCGCCTTGGGCTGGAACGTTGCACTCGGGGATTTCCCGGGAGCCGCGCTTTTGTGCGAAAGGGAAGGTAGTTGTAGAACACCGCGACTTTGGGGGTTGTAGGCTGCTCCTTTTGGCCCCCTTGCCATCAACGTGTGTCGCAGCCTTCCCCTGCAGCCGCAGGTGGCAGTTGCTCCCGGGATCTTCCAAATCCAGTGGGAGCTAGTGACAGGTCCGATTCCATCTTTTCCTCTAGCGACGTGCCTTAGTGAAAGATGGGTTTGCGTTTGGAACAAGAGTGTCTTGCTGATCATCCCTTGCCCGTGACGCAGCTATTTCCATAGTAACAAATGATGATCGAAGCAGTGGAGTTACATCAAGCGAGGAGAAGGTATAATGCAGCCTTCATTGCAATGCGGCTGTCTCAGACATGTCACCACCACAGGCACCAGAAAAACAAAAGCACCCAGTGAAATAAGTCCCATTCCCTGTAGGGATGTTTGTTTCCAGAGTTGCATTTTCTTCCCTGGTTACTCACTTGGTTCTGCTCTTTCCTGATATTGCATTGTTCTGATGCCCAGACTGTATTTAACAAGAATTCCTGCTCTCTTTCCCAGTTACCTCAGTCCCCCTACTCCTTCCAAAAGGGTAAAGGAATCAATTTTTACCAGTTACTTTCCAGCTGATGTGCATATGGGCTTTTAGCATCCCCCACCTCCCAGCTGTCTCTGCTCAACCTATTGCAAATTACTTGTATTTGAAAAGCTCACACCGATAATGGCCCAGGTGCATTGACGTCTAATACCTTGGGGGTGTAGCCAGTCCTGGCAGTTGGCTATACCAAGGCAAATCAAAGTGGGCGTTAGGCCAGAGGGAGAGCCTACAAACAAATTGATGGCGGAGTAGCGGGAACCAGTTTTGATTTCCGTCCAAAAAACTCAGTCCCCTTGGGATGTCTCCTGTGTAATGTGTTCTGAGGGTTACAATGGCTAACTGAAAATCGGTGTCTCTCATCCATGGAGTAGGGCAGAGTCACCGCTGGCTTTATAGAAGCAGAGAATCCAATCTAAATACAAGGCATAGAAGGGCTTGAGTTTCGGGCTGGTGGTTCTTTCATGTCTGATTTCCCCATGTATAAAAGAAGCACAGGATTAAAACAGCCTCTGCTCACCTCTCCCATGAAAGGCCGCTGCAGCCACTTGGCTCAGCATTCAGAGTTCGTGTTCTGCGTTAGATGGGTCCAACCTTCAAAGTTCTGACCCAGATCCAGACTTCTCAGAGTTCAAGGAGATTTGGATCTGGCTCTTGGTGTGGGCTCATGTCTACTTTCTTGTAATAACGAATTTCTCTCTATGAAGGCGGTGGAAAAAATGGACGTTGGATTACAAGCAGTTGTCATCCTTCCTTCATGCTAAGGTTTTTCCTCTGCAGGGGAGATGTTTCCTTCCTCATTTTTCCCTTTCCTTTCAGCCCCAAAGGCTGAGTCATGAGAACACCCTTTGGGCAGAAGAGACGTACCTCTCTCCGTTCCAAGCTGTTCATGGAGTAAATCCGAGACATCACTAGAGTGATACAGGGAGCTTTCTCTCCTGGGTGCTGGGTGCTATCCAGCTTCCCCAGCTGGCCCAGGTCCTGCCGGCGCATGAGCAAAGTCCCAAACGCAGGTTCCAAGCAGGAGTTAGCTAACATCTGCAGAAGCTTAAAGAATCAAACTAAGCAACTAATATTGGCAGCTGGCTTCTACCTGACATCAAGGCCTTACATTGCTCCAGTCACAGATGAGGTTACTTTTCTGCAGCGTAGCAGCCGGCAGCTCTGAAATGCTGATTTTAATTGAGACCTTAAATTAAATGCACAAAAAGCCTTTCAACTTGGAGGATGTTGCTGTGCAAAGGAGGGGTGTTGCTTTCTCTT